GTTCACTTTTGCCAAGCTCCTCCTGCCTGTTGCATAAAATGCTCCGATGGCCATAGAGACCTGCAGCCTCCATTTGTCGCTGGTAAGGCTGAATAGGACAAAGGGTGTAGAGACGGGGAGGTAAGTAGGTGTAGAAGAGATGGCCATGACGGCGAGTTGCGGAAGATTGTCGGCGCCGAGCTCTTGGTAGTAGGGACGGTGTGCACGTGTGTTCTGTGTCCGGCTTGGGTACGTAACTTTTCGGCATTTGGACCCATCACTGCACTGCCATCCGACGTCAACTTGACACACCTACAAGCCTACTTTCTGATCGTCGCTCCCCGACCAGGGTGTGTATAGCCATATCTTTGAGTTCTCACACAACGGCGATTTTCCTGATTCAAGGCCCCTTAACATGTAGAAGTATGCATATCGATGGAGCGCACAACTGCAGTAGGCCGTAATTCAAGTCAGTTGGCGCCATGCAAGTAACGTCGCCTACACGGTAGCCTACCGGCTTGTCAATAAGCTACCCATGTTCAGACCGGAGATGCGCATCGAACTGGTTTCTGTAGCTAAGCACCCCGCATCTTGCACACCGCAGAGGCAGGGAGACTGATACAGCTGTTCTACCACGTATAACATCCTCGTGACGGATCCATGCGGAAGAAGAAGATTTGCGCTGACCCCCTGTGCTTTGTGATGGATGATTCTGAGACGTTGGAGTTCCAACGTGCGGTCAGAAAACACCGAGCAAAAGCCTTGTGAGCGGTACACTGGTGTGCTAGTCACTGGCACTCATGCTTTAGTAGTGTCCGGCGTAGGATCTCCCGTGATCGACTCATATCTAAGACCCTGCGGCGATCCACACTTTTGGGTCGAAGGACCTTCCCTGGCTGTCCAACGTCCGCCAATGCCAAGCACGTAATCGCACTCAGCGCTTATGTCGGTTCAGCTTCGTCGTTGTATTGCTGCACACTATAGTCAGCTGCATAACCTGGGGTGGGCGTGGATCCGCTCCAAGCCTCCCTGCTCGACCTACTTTCCCAAAGAACAGGACTACCTGACTGTACAGAATAGGATGCAGGTACAGGTAGTGGTGTAGTGACTGATAGGAGCGCTTACGCAGTTTGATTCGATCCAAGCATTCAATAAATGCTTTTTCCAACACTGCGCCCGACTCTTTGGGCCACCTTCCTGATATGTTTGTACACAAGATAGTGTAGGCCAAGGATTTCCTTGACCAGATTCAGACTTCTAGCACGCGAGAACCATGGTTTTTTCAATAGGACGACTTTCCGCAAGAACGGCGGAGTGTTCGGACATTCACTGCGGGGTAAGAGTTCAGGGCTCGTTCAGGAACCTACTCTTGTTTGCTGCGAGTCATGAGCTAGTGGCTGTAAGTGATATCAACGTGAGAAATTAGTCCAAGGTACGCACTGCAGCGCAAGCAGCCTCGCAGCATGCGGCCCGTCCCATGCACTGAGAATCATGGACGACGAAGCCGCATAACCACATCAGCCAGCCAGCAAGTCCAATAGACGGCTGTTTGACTTCAATGGGTAATGAGTTCGGGCGACTACAGACAAACGGAAGAATGCAACCCTACTTCGCACCTCCAAGCCTTTGCATACGACGGCGATAAACCTTGAGAGAAGTGATGGCTTTCCATGCTACAAAAATAGGCCCGTTATCGTCTTGTCAGCCCCACCCCCACCCTCCCACGGAATACGGCTAGGTGCGCATGTTCCTTGCTGCGGATCAACTTCGATTTCCTTCCTGTCTTGCTCTGGGGTTCTGGATCCTTTGGCGCTGGACAAAAGAAATGCTGCATGTGCTTTGCTTGTTCAGTAGAGCGCGTACAGCGACAGCAGTGTTGGCATAAGCCAACCCCAGAAAGGGAAGAACAAGGCGCTTACAACATTGGCAGTGTATGCCTACCTTCCGCATTTGTCGTGTATCTATCGTTTTGAATGTCGCAATCGAGCCTGATTTCTGGGCATTACGTGTGAGTCTGATGACATCTATAAACCATGCACAGCCAAAGCCATGGGGGGAGTGAACAGCAGCGTCGATTGCGCCATGAGTGCCGATATTGTACTGCCTCCCAAGCTGACGGCTGCTGCCCGTCATCTCAAGTCGTGGTCCACAGATTGCAACGTCTGAGGCCAGTTTGAAGAGTACCAGACATTCGTTGAAAGCAAAACCCCCCTTCTCCTCAGCCTCTCGCTCTTCGTATAGCATGCGAAAGGGGGTTTTCTTTTACATCATAAACGTACTTGAATGGTTCGTTGGAGCACTTGACGGGGACAACCTTTGAGTCCTCCCCATGGGTCAGCGGAACAATCTCTCAACGCAGCGAATTCCTTGATTGAGGTGGAAGCCGTCATTAGACTGTAGAAGCATGGTGTTGATGTTCATGTCAATGTCGCTGCTGATACTGATGTTGATGTGAGAGACGTTGGAGCACCATAGTCGCAGTAGTAGTCGAGGTGGACCCACCATACCCCTAGGCTAGGCCAGGGTCCAGGTTGCCAGCGCCGGCCTCGTCCCTGCCTGTGCTCAACTTTTGCAAACTTACAGACGTCGTCAGCATGCAGTTGCTCCCTTTGATCCTCGCAATGAAGCCGTCACGATGAATTCGTCGCGTGCATTCACCAGGGCTACCCAGAACACGTTCCGCAAGCCGCTCGATTTCCTCAGCAATCTCTCGCGCGGCCCCATCCAGCTTCCCAGAGACAAAAAGAGAAAGGACAGCAACGCACACCAACGCTACAACAGCATCGGCTCCATAGACGACACCGACCACTCCGACGTCGAGTTTTACGCCCAAATGGAGTCCTCGAGGCGGAGTCACTCTGCGCACAACTCGCAGTCGGAGCTGCAGCCGCCCGTGCCCCTCATAGACGTAGGCAGCCGCAGCAACAGCCCATATCCGCGCAATCGCAGCGCCGCACAGAGTGAAGACGAGGAAGATGACGATTTCGAGCCGGCGAGCAGTATACGGCCGCTAGTCAGCAGTGACATCAGGAGTGGAGGCCATGCTTTTCGTGGCTTCTGGCAACAGGGCGGCCCGGGGGCCTTCTTTTTTGGCACGTGGAAGGGCTGGCAGATCTGGGTTGGACTGCTGGTCTTCTGGGTCGGCGGGTGCAGCTTTGGCCTGCTTCTCATGAACCGCTTCATTATGCTCACAGGCGTCTATAAGTAAGGATTCCCGCGGATTGTTGCTTGCGGCATATGCTAATCAAGACAGATTCCCCTTTCCCCTGACCCAATCCTACGCACAACTCATCATCACCCACCTTCTCCTCATCCTCGTCTCAAGCCTGTTGCGATTCTCCAGTAATCCCCTGCGCTTCATTGGCTTTGGTGCTGCTGTACCGCCATCACAGCCGGCCGCCCCACAAGGAGGAGCATATCGAGGGGGCAGAAAACCTGGCATCTCCGCATTTGCTCGCTGGCTCTCGAATGGCTCGGGAGGCATTGCAGGTGGTGGGCTGTTTGAGTTTGATCTGCAAATCGCCAAGCAGGTGCTGCCCCTCGCGGTGGTCTTTGTGGCCAGGGTGCTTCTCAGTAACTACTCATTTGCGTACGTGCCCTTGTCTGCCCATTTTGATCTCGACCACTAACATTCATCAGATATGCACCACTTCCGACCTACCAGCTTGCCCGCATCGGCATAACCCCACTCGCAATCATCTTTGCTTGTGTTCTGCAGAAAGAAAACATCACCGGCAGTGCCCTCTCCTCCGCCCTCATTGCGACCCTCAACCTCTTCTTTGCCTCTTACCGCCCCGACGTTCGTGTGACTTGGGAGTCGGTCGTCGCCGGTGTCTTCTCTTCTGGCTTCGTCGCCCTCTACCCCATCCTCCTTCTCCGCACGTACCGTACCATGGTTGCAAATCTTGTGCCTTCGGGCGATGTGCTTACAGGATACCCCACCGGCTCGGACGAGTCGGGTAACCGAGAAGAAACCCGCGCATTTTATCGCACACTGCACTACACTTCAATTCTGTCTCTCATGATTCTTACACCCATTGTCATAATTTCTGGAGAGGTTCCACACATATGGCATAATATTCCGTTCCTCGATGTCCCGTTTTTCTGGGCCATGATGCTGTTTGGCGGCATGGGCTCGTGGGCTGTTTTCTCAAGTACATTACTGCTAGTCAAGGCGACATCTCCACTGACGGCGACCTTTGTAGCCGTCCCCAGGAGCGCCTTCCAGCTTGTGGCCATTTCTCTCTTCAAGGCTCCTGCACAAACTTGGTTGGGAGTGGTACTTTGTTGGATCAGCAGTCTGTGGTTCCTCATCACGAGGCGAGACGAAGGACGGAGTAGGGACAGACTGAGGTAAGAAGGGGTTTAGTACGATGCCATTTCAAGAGCTTTTTGATTTGTTTCAATCTCATATACAACACCATTTGCTGCGTAGAAGTAATGTAATGTGTTTTCAACTCTTGTGAATATCTCACGTGGTTCTGGGGGACAGAAACTGTACTGTTTGTTGCGTCATGCAATTTCAAATCCCCGCCACATCGGGCAGAACTCGTATTTTCTATTACTCAGGAGAAACACGAGTCAATCTGCATTTCGACTCCGTCTGCCACGGCCGTTGGATCGGCCGCTTTGTAACCCACGTCAGTTTCGGTAAGCATGCCAGGGTCTTTGTGCACTATGCAAGATCGAGAAGATCTAAACGAAAAATTGTTTAGAAACAGCGAGAGTTTGAGTATCAGGGCAGGCGTGAGGGGATCACTTGTGCGACTGATGATGCAGGGTTAATATTCAATCTACTTCGCCGAAGCGATCCTGGCTGTAAATACGATTCCAGCCTAGACAAGATCGACACGGATGTGATCTCTCCACAAATGGAATATCGTGGCGTTTACGGACCGCATGCTTGACCGAAAGAAGAGCACGTTCACTTGGTTGACGCTAGACTCTCTTACTAGCGCCCAGTTTTGCCGGCACTAGGCCATGCTCTTCCTTTGCTCCAAAACGAAAAAGAGTTGTTTTTCAGCTGTTGGCAGTGTAAATTTGCGGTGCGATTCATGCCCATTGGACACGGCCACATTTGCTCGGCATCCTCTACGATCCAGACTGCCTACCAACCTGGCCAAAGGCGTTAGGTATCTAAAAAGAAAAGATAAAAGGATGCCTCCTTCCAGGGGACTCGTTGTCTGCATTTCTTGCTACATTCATTCAGTTTGTCTTCCATCCCTGGCACAATCACCATGAAGCTCCCAATCGTTCTTGCAGCTCTTACAGCACCTCTAATCCAGGCGGCCCCCACACCAGCCTCCGAACTTACAACTCGCCAGACCAGACCGCGAGAGCTCAGTAAGTCAGAGATTAAGACGATGTAGTCCATGCGCTTTCTTTGCTGCTAACTGTAAGCAATAGTCCAACCAGAACTCTACCCTGTCCTTCAACGCTACACCAGGTTCGCTGTAGCTTCTCTCTCAGCCTTTACCTATAACCAAGGAAAATGCCCTAGTCCACCTTTTCACTCTGTTCTCGTCCGAACGATAAACTCAATCGTAACCTCAACCCAAGTCGCTGTATTCCAGGATGACGCGGCAAAAGAACTGATTGTGTCCTTCCCTGGCTCCGCCTCGCTCCAGGATTTTATCACCGATTTTGCCTTTTTCCTGCAGCCCTTCACCAGTGCCACAGGCTGCACCAACTGTCAGGTCCATGGGGGTCTCCTCCGAGCCTGGCGCTCCGTGCAACCTGGTCTCACAAATGCGCTGGCGGAATTAAATGCACAATTACCGGGTTACAAGGCGATCATCGTAGGCCACAGTCTGGGTGGTGGACTAGCCAGTCTCGCCTATACGGATCTCCGGGCTAACAACGTTTCCATTGCAAAAGCGTACACATTGGGGTCTCTGCGCGTGGGCAACCCAGCATATGCCGATTTCACCGACCGCCTGGCTGGTGCGGACGACAATAACTTGGGCGAGTTGCTGCGTATCACGCATGGGGTTGATGGCGTGCCGAATCTACCGTTCCAGGCGATGGGATTCCAGCATACGCGTACGGAGATTTACGAGGAAGACACCCAGCCTGTGAATGGCACGCAGAGTCCTGAGACAACGTTTCGCTGTTTTGGTCAGGAGGCGAGTGATTGTATTAGGTTCAAAGCGGTGGGGTTCATTAATCAGGATCATCTGGTTTACACGGGGATTAACATGTCGGGGCCGGAGCAGTGTAATAGCCAGGACTGAAGGAGAGGAAGATGGAAGTGCAAATGAAGTAATGTGTATGTGGTGTATGTGGTGTTTGTACATGTGGAAGCAACAGGGAATGTATATAGGTAGTAGTGGAATGAACAGATCGTGACCTAGCAGATCTCGTGACAGCGTGACATGGTGGACGCGCCCCCACGTGTAATTGGGCGGGTCGCGGTGTGCCCTGGCAACACACGCCAAGCCCTGTCAGGCTGCGAGGGGTTTGTTGGTTACGGCGATCTTGTCAACAACCCCGCCAAACCACTTGGGGATAGAAACATATATCCACACACATAGTGAGTATACATTTGTCTCCAAGGGCTGCAGCCTGGGCTAGTCCATGACCGGCAGTCCGCGCAAACACCGTGCGCCTTTCCGACCACTCGATACCTTCTCCACCGCCAAAAAGCCTGTCTTCAAAGCCCCTACTACTCCTGCTACGCCTGGCTTTTCCGACGATAGCGACATCCCCCGCGAGCAGTCTACTTCTTTGCTCGGCGACTCAAGCACTCTTTTCGACGACATTGAGAGTCCCCCAACCCACGCACAGCAGCGAGAAACTCTCCAGGCCAGGCTCAAGATGGTGCGAGAACGAGAGCCTCCGATGGCCCATCCTCCCCGCGATGGAGCGGTCCCCCCACCAAAGCCCGTAAATGACCTCAAGAACTCACAGCCGCAATTTGGAGAAACCAGTCCCCTGCGGAACCCACTAAAGAAAGACCGCAACGATCAGTTTTCACATCTCTTCAATAAGCCCAAGCCAGGGCAGATGCGACCAGAACACAGTCAGACGACTAAACTACCCTCACAATATTCAGGTCCACCAAGGCCGTCTCAGGCCTCGAAGTCGAGTATAGACACCCTCAATCGCCCATTCAAGGTCCCCTCGTCACAATCGGGATCGCGTTACAGCACAGCATCTACTGATTCTGACGTTTTTGAGATCCCTGCTTCGAGCTTCCAGCCACGACCATCCCAAGGCGGTCCCGTACCCATTTCCAGACCCTACAATGCTCCGGCAAAGACTACTCATGCCGCACCCCGGCCAGTATACTCGTCCATGGGCCATGCTGATGACTTTCAGCCATTGAACAAGGGCACACATAACCCGCTGCAGCAAGCGCGTAAGACGATCATATTGGATGACGAAGATGACTTTGATCCAGATGCGGTTATTCGCAAAGAAGGAAGTCGCTTCGGTGAACCCGACATGTATGCATATGTCGACTCTGGCGCGGCGAGCGAAAATATCAAGGCGCTGTTAGAGGGGGCGTTTGATGAAGAAAATGAGAAGATCCCAAGGATGCGTCTTCGTAAGACGAAGAAGCGACAAGAGGATAAGGCTAGTATGTGACATTAAGCATCCCCTGAAATAGCCTGTGTTGCTAATCCTAGCCAGCCGACTCCCTAGCCGACCGTCTCAAAGCACTCGAAGTCAAAGACGAAGAGACCAAGCCCGAAGTCGAAGCGGGACCCGAGGAAGAAGAGGAGGATGACGGGACCGTCGAAGGCCTCAAAGTCAAACTCCTACCACATCAAGTTGATGGAGTGGCATGGATGATTGAGAAAGAAACAGGCAACCATAACAAGAAAGCCAAGCTTCCCAAGGGTGGTATACTGGCAGATGACATGGGTCTCGGAAAGACTGTGCAGTCTCTTGCACTCCTGCTGTCAAATCCGCGACCAGAGAAAGGCGTTGAACCAGAGAACAAGAAGAACAAGATCTTGGATTCCACAGGCAAGGGCACGCTCGTCGTCGCTCCCCTTGCACTCATCAAGCAATGGGAATCCGAGATCAATTCCAAGGTCACAAAGTCGCACGCACTCAAGGTTCTCGTCCACCACGGCCCCAACCGTACAAAATCAGCCGATAAGCTCAAGCAATACGATGTCGTTATTACAACATACCAAGTCCTCGCCTCTGAGCATGCTTCTTGTGGAGACGGCCCAGATGGGCTCAAGAAGGGCTGTTTCGCTGTGAACTGGTACCGGATGATGCTGGATGAGGCACATACCATCAAGAATCGAAACGCCAAGATGACAAAGGCCTGCTATGCTGTCAACTCTCATTATCGCTGGTGTCTGACTGGTACGCCGATGCAAAACAACATTGATGAACTGCAGAGCTTGATCAGATTCCTCCGTATCCAACCCTATTGCGAGCTGTCATCATGGAAGGACTCAATATCGGGTCCTATGAAGAACGGTCGTGGTAATCTGGCTATGAAGCGTCTCCAAGTCTTTCTGCGAGCTTTCATGAAGCGCCGCACGAAGGATGTGCTGAAAAAAGAAGGTGGGCTCAATTTTGGCGGAAAACCGAAGGAGGGTGAAGACAAGCCAGCTTTCCATATCGTTGCGCGAAACATCGAAAACGTCATAGGAGAGTTTACTGTAAAGGAGCGCACGTTCTACGACCGCCTGCGGGATCGCACACAAGCCCGTCTCGATGAGATGATGGGCGGCGAGAAGCAAGATTACATTGGAGCGTTGGTGTTGCTTCTCCGGTTGCGACAAGCGTGTGATCACCCTAACTTGACGAAGAGCAACGTCAGGGCTGACAAGGACGCCTTGACCACAGGCTCAAAGTCGAGTGCTACTGCTGGTTTCCAGACTCCACGAAAACCTTCTGCAAGAGACGACGCCGACGATCTTGCAGACTTGCTTGGTGGGCTCAGTGTTGCAACGAAGCGATGTGATATTTGCCAAAACCACCTGAATAGCGACAATACCGCTGCGGGTGGTGTGCGTTGCATTGAATGTGAAGAGGACTTGAATATGTCAACGAAGAAGGATAAGAAAAAGCATCGCAAGCACAAGCACAAGAATAGCAAAGACAAGAAGAAGCATCGTCGACCAAAACCGATTGTTGAGTCTGATGATGATAACAAAGAAGAGGAGGAGAAGGAGGAGGAAGAGGAGACTGAAGATGAAGATGAGAAGCCAAAGGCAGCAGCCGCAAAATCAGCTCGCAACCGCCGACTTGTAGTCGATAGTGACGATGAAGAAGAAGAGGGCGAGTGGCTCGTCCCAGAAGACCAAAGGAATGTTGAGGACTTGGGAAAAGCTGGTGGAACCGACGATGAGAATGCTGAAGGCGGTGGTGATACATTAGCATCTGTCGACTCTGATGCATCCGAGAGTGTAGACGAGAGCAGAAGCAATTTGGATTCGTTCATCGTCCATGATACCGACAGCGAAGACGAAGCACCTGTTTCACGCAAGAAACTGGCCAAGAGACCACAGAAGCCTGTTGCAGTTGACTCTGATGACGAAGCTGACAGCGAAACCGAGAGCGAGAGCGGATCAGATGAGTCGGGATCCAATTCAGGATCAGATGATGAGGATGCATCAGATTCTGAAACTTCAGAGTCCTCGTACAATGCTTCTGAACTGACGCCCTCGACCAAGATCCGACAGCTGTTGGCAATTCTGGAGAAGGAGACGGATGAGCACAAAGTCATTGTCTTCTCACAGTTCACCTCAATGCTTGACCTGATTGAGCCTTTCCTCAATCGCGCCGGCTACAACTTCACCCGTTATGACGGTAGCATGCGCAACGACCTCCGCGAAGCCAGTCTGCACAAGCTCCGAGAAGACAAGCGCACACGCGTCCTGCTATGTAGTTTGAAATGCGGTAGTCTCGGTCTCAACCTCACAGCCGCAAGCCGCGTAGTCATCATGGAGCCCTTCTGGAACCCCGTACGTTATCCTGCCTTACCCCCCCTCCCAACTCCCATTGTACTAACCTCTTCGCAATAGTTCGTAGAAGAACAAGCAATCGACCGTGTCCACCGCCTCAACCAAACCGTCGACGTAACTGTCTACCGCCTCAGCATCCATAACTCGGTCGAAGAACGCATCATCGAGCTGCAAGAAGCAAAACGCAAGCTCGCCAATGCCGCCATCGAAGGCGGCAAAGCCATGAAGAATCTCACAATGAAAGACATGATGGCGCTGTTTAGCCGCGAAAGCGAGTTCGATCGCAGACATTTTGACGATGATAGGGAGCAGGAAATGATTTATGGTGTTAGAAGGGTGCTGAATGCTGAGAATGATGCAGGTGAAGACACTACGGTTAGGAAGGCGAGAAAGGCGGGGAGTTTGGGATTTAAGAGGACGGAGAGGAGGGAAGAGGGCGGAGCTTACGGACGGAGGTGAGGGAGGTGCTTGTAGAGATGGGCGTTTTAGGGTATTGGACGCGCTTGGGGTTCTTTGCCGCTTCATGAGTATGATGATGGTTACGATTCGTTCTGTCTTGTAAAATGTTAGGGAGTTGGGTTTTACTGTCTAAGATCAATACGAATTTTCATCTTGTCAGCCAGTTACTTACGTGCATTCTTAGGTTAACGTGTTTCACCACCGAGCGCCGCACCCCACCGAGCGCCGCAGTTCCCCCACTAAAACAACGTCCTAATAATAACGCGTGATGTCTTAACAACTACAAACCTAGAGAGGCTATACTAAAGCTAACGTA